GTTCGGCGCTACTCTCTGGTGGTCCTGCCCAACATGCGGCTATCCTTTCAGCCGAGAGTTTCCTTCTGACGGAGATCTGTGTCCGAATTCAAAATGCAATGTCAGTCATCATTTCTCTGCCCCCCAGAACCATAAGAGATCTCATAGCGCCCCAAGCATCGCTGAACATTGCAAGGTCATTTGTGCTGATAGGAGGCATATGATATAGAAGGTAGTTTACAGCGTGGACAAGGGTGTCCAGCCTGCGCGGTCGATTCAGCGAAGCCGATTATGATGACGGTTTGTGGCGGAACGAAGTGAGGCTACGGGCAAGAAGAGAGAAGGAGCTTCATCATGCGAGCTAAACAACAATGCTGTATATGTATTGGCCTCTGCCAGATCTGATTAGGTCCACCGCAGCGAGGGACATGATGTACAGTATATATGGCGCAGGAAATGTCTGATTGATCGACGAGGATCCCCACACAGACAAAGTTCAAAGTTCAAAGCTCAAAGCCAAAGCCTCTCTCTTCCTCTTCCTCTTCCTCGTGTCCTGTGGTTAGTCATTGGTGTTGTCTGCACAAGCGTGGACGCCTTGATGATTTTAATAACGTGTTCTCACTCCAAAGATGATAACGTGATGATGAAAGTTTGCCACCCGGCATGATGGCCAAAGTGCTTCACGTACATCGCCAACTCCTACAATCTGCATCTACAACTGTTCTCCTCCACAACGTCTCTACTAGGAGCCAGTCTCATCGCCCATGCCCAAGAAGGGAAAAACGAGCAAGCACCAGGAGCCGCGGTTCCAATCCTTCGCGATGCCTACTCCCGGTACGAAAATTCAGCTATGGAGGTGCACATTGCGAGCGAGTACTCGGACAAATCAAGCCGAAAGAGCGCGCGCTGTGTAGACCTTGTGGGGTAAGTAACCTCAGAATCCGTGAACCGGCTGGTGCATGAAATCAGGCTAATTGGGGGAATGTTTTGCTCGTGTAGAAAGTCGTGCGTGACAGCAGTCTTGGGATAGTACCACAAACTGTACATGTAGATGTATGAAGGGCCATCGTTCGTTCATTCCAGAGCAGTCTCTTCGATCGTCTGCTACACCTGTCCGGAAATCCTGCTTGACATGATGATAGAGACTGGCCTGGGATAGCGTCCCCCAATGCTGTTTTGACCAACGCAGCGACGCGACAGCGAATCGAGAACATAGTCTGTCAGACCATTGGACGACTACCAGCTCTTTCTTTATGGAGAAGCAAATGGATTAGAGGAAAAGCAGATGATGTCACTCTACAGTACGAGTAGCCATCTTTGCACGCTGCCTTCTTTCTACCTCCTGGCGCCTGGCTCAGTGACCATCTGGTAAGCAGCCATTCCAGATGACGATCAATCCTTCTCACGTCAAGAATCCAATATACCAGGCCTCCCCGTCAATCTCCCTTCGACTCATGCTGCTGGGAGGTTTATCAACAACACTTCCTGCCGAATGTAATATTGTACTCGCGCTCGCACCTCCCTCTTCGTCGTCACCACCAAAGTCTTTCTGGCACCAATGCCAATATTCTGGGACGGAGACATCGTCATCCACACGACCCTCTACATCTGTCCATTCTGCCGCTGTATCTTATCTCCGAAACATCCACTGGAAGGGGAAAAGTGTCGTGATTACAGATGCGCGGTTGGTGTTGTTCATCTTTCATCGTCGGGTTAGATGTGCGTTCTCCGCTAACGCGAGGACTGGTCCGGCTTTAGAGAGTAGTCTATAGTGCCAAAGATCGTATCCAGCCTCGCACTCTGAGGGTAGCCCATAAAGCGTCTCGGATGAGCAACGACATGTAATGAGGGCAAACCTAATGGTGGCGACGGCTACCTCCTAGCATGCGGCGAGTACTGAGGTCGACGTGATACCTGGCCCACCATTTAGGGTGTGCACACCCGATAGCATCTTGAACGGCAACACGCTACAGAAGAGATGCATCACAGAGTGTCGGGCATTGTTGAAAGATGCGTGTCGGGATCTGAGGATCATCATCCTCGTGTCTTCGGGCGTGGGTCGGTGTATTTACTGACGTACTGCTGTCTGACTGCAGATATCGGCTTCGTTAGCGCGTATGTCTGCCATCGTTAATTGAACGGTGACGGTGCGTTTGCCCCCCGATGTGGTGGTTATATGGCTAATGAGCCCTTGAAAGGACATCACTCTCTTTCTTCCAAGTCGTAATTGCTCAACGGAAGAAACTCCACCTTTTTCCTGTACGAGATCCATTTAACAAACGCCACTCCAATGCCAGTACGCAACAAGAAGCCCTCCATCTTTCCCGAAATCACCTACCAGCCCTTTGTCGTCCCCGAGCCGCCCAAACGAGTCAAACGATGGCAATGTCCACATTGTACTCGGATCTTGGGAAGAAAAGAGCCGCGGGAGTTAGCTGTTTGTCAGACGTGCAAGGTGAGCCTTGCACTTCTTCTGCCCGAGATATTATGAGGGATGTCCGGGCTATGTGTAAGAGATGTGTATGGAGGAGCAGCTGACGAGGGATGGGCAGAAAGTTGTAAGAGATTGGGTTCGAGGGATCCGACCGGAGGAGACTTGGTTGTACCTCTAGTCAAAGTCTAACATGATTCGCCGTACAGCATATGTCCGAACAAGTATATATGGATACTGTGTAAACAGTTGATTCCATCTGGATCGTGGGAGGCATAGAAATGATATGCCTGGTTCGATCCGCTCGCCGCTTATACGCACGCCCAAAAGCACCGACAGAGGAGAAACCCAACGGCATTCCGGGAAACGGCTAAGAATTGAAGCGTGTCCGGCAGTGATCTTGATTCCTCTCATGTCTTTGGGTCATGGACACTTGCCTACGCCTCTGACATACCACCGACGACAGTGCTGCCGGTATGTTCGCCACTCACTTGGGGCACTATATATCGCGACGGTAGACGGGGTGTTACTCTTGCACAAACAGCGACCAAAAAGTCTATAAGGACTTGTCCTCAAGAATGAGCGTATCTTACATCAGTCCAAATCCCCATCACTAACCACAAATACCAGCCCTTCGTCATCCCCCAACCACCAACAAAAGTGATGCGGTGGATGTGTCCGCATTGTACGCGAGTCTTGGGCCAGAATGAGCTCAGGGAGTTGGAGGTCTGTAAGACGTGCGGGGTGAGTGGTGTTATTCCTGTCCGTCAAGTCCGAGATGCTGGGGCGATGGAGCGGTGATATGAAGGTGGGGAGAAAGGAAGCTGATGAGGGGGAGTAGAAAGTGGTGAAGGATTGGGTACGAGGGATCCGGCCGGAGCAGACTTGGCTGGACCTCCATTCATAGCCGCCGTGAGCAGACGAGATATCAGATGCGATTTGTCGAGTAATTCCAGAGAAATCAGTGGACGAGCCAATCCAAGAAAATGGGGATGGTTTACTGCGGCAGGAAAGTGCGTTGGAAGCCGTCTGAGTAAGTAATAGCTGTTGCTGCGCACAGAAATATACGATGCATGACCTCTATAAGGCAAAGCTCATCTGAGCCTCTCGTCAACCTTCCGTCTCCGTCTAAAGCCTTATATCTTGGGGTTGTGCACCCGGAGCGCATCGTGCGCGTCAATGTCACCATCACATTCCCAGGGGTAGGCGAGCCAGACGTCGGGGGTGTCGACGGCGGAAAAGTAGACGACGCCTTCCGGGAGCTCACCGGCCTTGGGCTTCAATCTGCGACTCTGTTAATTTTGATTCATCGTCGCAATTATGCCATATCCAAGATATGTACGAGGGCGAAGGGGAACAGTGAAGGAGACGTACTTGTTGTGAACGACAAAGATACCAAGCTTGGTCTCAGCTCTCAGTCTCTCCCGCTCCTGAACGTCCTCGACGAGTTCGAGCTGCTTGTTGATGTCGATCTGGAGCTCCTTGACGGTGTACATGAGGGTGGTCCTGGTGTCGTCGACCTCGTCGACGATGAGGATATGTCTACCGAGGAGACCACCATGTGTAAAGTTCTGACCGAGCTATAACATCGTCAGTACTAGCCAGGCGCGGCGGAAGAGTGTATCTTACAGTGGAAAAGTCGAGCCATTGGGTTCGGACGACCTCAGTCCCGACCTTCTCTTCGACCTGCGATCCATTTCGTCAGCCCAAATTCACGATACGAAGTCAACGGACAAGAACCGCAACACGGTAATCACGTGCCTGGCCATCATAGATAAACAAAAAAATGTGGTGGTGACCGATCAGGTCGGAAAGTGGAGGTCTTATCAAAAGTCGACCCGTTCGACAAAATCGACAATCAGAGGAAGAGCTCCGAGCTGGGCGGGAGACAGATAGCAGAAACGGGGGAGCTGCCTAGAGAAGCATGCACGCTGGCGGGGTAGAAGGCTGACATGCAAGCATGTGCGCCCTACGATCCCTTGGCGCTGAACGGAACCACCCAAGCCGGCCATGGCAACAGACACACGAATGTAGGAAAGACACTCACACCACCCAAGTCCTCGTACAAGACAAGTCCGACGGCCTGGATAGGGATATTCCTCTTCTTGCCATCAACATCCTTCTTGCAGTGGGTTCGGAGCATTCGGGCGGGAATGAAACCACCACCGCCAATAGCGATGAAGAGGTTGGGGGCTGGGCATATTGGGTCAGCTGCAAGCTCAAAGAAGGGGATATGGAGGAGCAATGGGACGTACCAAACTCGGCTTGGATCTTGACGGCAGCCTTCTGGATGGCATGGTGAATGTCGTTGTAGCTCAATCGGAGCCTGTGGGAGTCAGCGAAGAGCAAGGGAAAGTGTGGTAAGCTTACATTTCGACGTCGGTCTTGATATCGGACATGGTGGGCAGTTTATGAGATGGGGCTGAGTACCAAATGAGAAGAAAGATAAAGTCAAGAATCCAAGTTCCTTGGCTTAAGCTTCACTTTTGCATCCTCGTGGTCTTACGTAAACAGATGTCACCTCCACAAACAGCAGCGACTGAAGTTCGCCTGGGCTGCCTGAAATCACTATTCTTCTCTATCATTTCCTGTTCTTTCCAACATTCCCCATGTCCTCCCTGACCCTCCTGGACTGGGACCCGACAACGTTCGCCCTCCTGCAGCAGCAGCTCACCAGGGTCATTTCACAGCCCACGACTTCTGCCCTGAGGAAACTTTGGGCGCTGCTCGAGGGCGCTGAGCCATGGCTGCTCAATCTGACTAGGCTGCCGCCGAAGAATGACAAGGACAAGGAGTACATTGAAAAGAGTGAATGGAGTGAGAAAGTGAGAGGATAGCGCTGACTCTGAGTAGACGCTTTGGAACTGCCATCCGGGACAACCATACGCGTCACCGGTGACCTCTTGACCACCACAAACACCATTTCAGACGCCCTTTCCCTCTCCCAACTATACTCTGCCGTGCTCGCACTTCAAGCAGAATCGCACAGATATCAATACCCCTCCCGGTCGACACCCGAGATCTCCATCTACCTGCTACACCAATGGTCCCTCGATCTGCTCGTTTTCCTTGAGCAGCTCTTCAGGGTCGTCATCTCTCAGTCAGATGAGCTTGACACACACTTTGAGCCTCTGAAAAACTTTGTGGAAAATCTGCTGGGATCCAAGACGGAGCAGGGAACATTGATCGACAACATACTCTCCCAGCTCGACGTCCTTCATTCCAAACTCTCCTCTCTCCTCTCCTCCCAATCTCCCTCTGGCCCAACTTTCGAGCTTCTCCAATTCCGTGTGCAAGCACTGAGAGCTGAACAAAACAAGCTGGCGTCCATCTTGGGCGTGCTGGCAGAAGGAGGAAGGCTCGGTAGAGGGCAGGTGGTGAGGATTTTGAAGTGGCTCAAAAAGGTGGACAGGGCGGATGGAGTTGTGGGAATGGTGGGAGCTAGCTTGATGGCAGCTTGGAAGCCTTTGGAGAGCATGGATGCGTCGGATGGGAGGTACGATGTGAGTACCTGTTGCTGACCTTGAGGGTAGAGCTGACTTGAAAAGGTTGCGGAAGATTGGTGCCATGATATCAAGTTCCTCAAACTCGCTTCCAGCCTCACCGTACGGTTTTCTAGCATGGTGCGCGGCACAAGCTAATATGATATATAGCTGCAAGAGCAATGGACGATTCCCCGCCTTCGCGAACCCATCAAGCTCGCCTGGTCACTCTTCTACCTTTCCTGCCTCCGACACGACCCCTCCGTCATTCAAACCGGTATCGATCAGCACGAAATTGAAGGCTGGCTACTCGACTCGGTACACAACGACGCTCTTGCGCTGTTGCATGCGCAGGTCGTTTATATCAGCGGAGGAGAAGGGGCAGGAGAGGTGGACGTGCTTGTACAGCAGGGGAATGCGAGTGAAGTGGGGAACAACGACTTTTTGGTCGAGCAGGTCAGAGGGTTGGTGGACATTTTGGCTGGGAAGAAGCAATTCCTGCGCAATTTGCGTAACAAGGAAGAGGACACTGGTGCTCGTCGCTCTCAGGTGGCCCCTCCTGCCGCCCACTACCAAAACTTCCTCCGCCTTACTGGGGCGGTGTACAAATCACTCCCTCCGGATTCTGCTGTAGAGCTGTGGGAGAACTCGACATTCACCTCCACAGTACTCGACAGTCGAAACGGATTGCCCGGTACGGCCTTCTGGGAAATGCTCGCTGCCATCTCCACCGGCCCCGAATGCTCTGTACTCTGCTACGAGAAGCTCAAAGACACCCGTCTCCCTTGGACATCCTTGTTCAAATTCTACCAGCACTACATCGAAATCATGCCCCACATCTACGAGCCTATCAAGAGCACAAGGGCGGCTTCATTGGCGCCTATGGTGTTGGAGGATGTCGAGGTGTGTACAGGGTGGACGAAGGTGCTGGAGACGGTGGTGAGATGGAGTCCCGCGGCAAGGGCGGCGCTTCTCCAGAGCAAACCCCAGCCTCTTGGAGTGCTCTTCGAGTTTTTAAATTGCGATAACGTACCCATCTCTTTGAAGGCTACGATACTCCAAGCCATCACCGCCTTCACCAAGCGCACCTCGGACCCCTCGGACGACGAAATCATCTCCCAATCACTCTCCTCCTACGAAAAGATCACCTATCTCAACCCTGCGCTTGATGTGCGCCATCTCGAGCCTGGGAGGATTCCCCAGCCAGTTGGCTGGCTGAGCAGGATGGAGTGGGCGGAGAATGAGGAAGGGAGGTATGCGTTGTCGAGAGCGTATGTGGAGTATTTGACAGAGCTTGTGCCTTCTCCGGGTACTGTTGCAAAGCCGGCGCAGGTGGTACCGAGCGGGTTGAGGAGCAAGCTTGTCAACACTTTGAGGAGGGGAGCGTACCAGGTGATTGACGGCGTCTTCCTGTCACTCAAGACGAGAAGGTATGCTAGAGACAGTGAGCGATGGGAGGTCCTCGACACCCTCACAGCGTTCCTCGAAAAGGCGCTATTGTCTTTCAGCATGTCGGAGCTCCTTTCTCCTTCTGCGTCTGCTTCCTCTGCGGTCCGAACGATCGGTCCTATCGCTGTGGAACTGTCGGAAGAACCAGGATTCGTCATCCTCCTCCGCCTGTTATCCGACCCCGCCGTCTTTGCGGTTTTGGCTTCTGTCCTCGATTCCGCGGCGCAGGAAGGCTTGGACGGACAAGGAGGTAAACGGGAAGAAGTTGTAAGCAGGGTGCTGCTCAGGGTTTTGAGGGTGTATCACAGGGTTTTGGAAGTCCAGCTGGTGTTTGCCGAGGTCCTCCTCGTCATCCTTGCGGACTCTGCTCGTAACCCCACCTACCCCTTCAAGCGACCCTTCGGTCTTCAACCTCTGGACAACCACATCCTGTCGCATCTCTCCAACATCACCACCATCGCTCTCCTCGTTGCCGATGATGACCCCGCTATTTCGTATATCGCTACAAAGCTCGTTGCGACATTGTCAGCGTCACCAGTCTTCAACCGAACAGACATCTTCCAAGGCGAGTATGCTGGTGCTGTCAACAGGCTTGCGGGGATCCTCGATGCGAGCGATGATTCCATTCGGATATCGCAGGCTTTCGTGCGAAAGCTTGATGTGGAGGGAGATGCTGTTGAAGATCAGGAGGTTGTTGAAGACGAGGCGCTGCATGGTGATGTGAAGAAGGTCGAAGGAGAGCTGGGGATGGTGACAAGGTCCGTCATCCTAGACATCCTGGTGGAAGGCACAACACAAGACGTGTCTTCTCCCAACATTGCTCATTTCTTGTTGGGATACGACTTCCGACACCGTGATTTTGCACTCCAATCTGGCGGCAGCTCTTGCTTGCATGTTATCCTTCGACAGTTGCTCGACGGCGCGGAGCTTTGCGGGCCATCTGGAGACGGGATCATTGACCGTCATCCCTTGCTTGGTGCCAAGAGCGCAGAGCTGATCTATCAACTCTTCTCTCACCCCATGACTGGCCGAGCGACAATGGGCTATGCTATGAGCGTTACTGGTTATTCTGCCAGGCAGTTGGCTTCTATTCCTCGACGCTGCGTCGAATGGGCTGGCGAGGAAGGACCTAGTGGCAGGGCTGTGTACTGGGACGGGTCTGTGAACACAACTTCAGACGTCTTGGTGGCTGTTTTGGAGTTCCAGCGATGGATCGTCTCGTCTGCTTCCCTCGAGGCTTTTTCATATGACGGCCACGGCGCGTCTGCGGCTCGAATTGCCGAGATCCTCTTTTACGGTTCCGCTCACGACGAAGACGAGCTTGATGGAGAACAGCCCCAGACGCCACCGCTGTTGATCGACCTCCTGTCTTCTTTTGATGTGAGATGGGAGGAACCCGAGTTGGAGAATAGGCAGCTGGAGTTCTTTGCCGGCTTTGGATTTGACGAATTCAAGCGCGCTGGGGTTGAGTGGTGGGATTTGAAGGGTCTTGAGCAGGGGATGAAGGCTTGGGCGAAGGGGCTTGAGAGGCAAGGGGCAATCACCCCTGCGTCTGCTCCTGCCGTCCAATCTGAGATCATCTACGTTCTCCAGAAGCTTGGAGGCAAGAACAAGGAAACCGATGTGGCGATTGCCAAGGGCAACTTTGCTCTTTCTTGGAACGAGCTGCTCAAGATCTCTCTCGCCATGCTCTTCAAGCACATCAACCCGGATGAGCAGCAGATTCTTCTCTTCTCACTCCTCGACCAGCTCCTCCTGCGCCTTTTGGGGGCGGATGAACTGTCGCCTGGGGTAGGAGACGTAATTGCGGAGAGTGTGTTGGTTGCAATGACGCAGCTTGTCACAGTGTTGGGCGTGTTTGAGGGGGTGAATCTGCCAGTAGAGTTGCTGGGCAAGATCCTTGGAAGAGTGGTCGATGGTGCGACCAGGCCGGGAACGACCGAGACCGCTAGAGGCAATCTCTACGCCGCCATCACCCAATTCCTCACCCTCATCTCACCCCAAAACTTCTCCGACTCTCAATCTCTCGCTCCTTCATCCTTCTCCGTGACTGACTCGACACCATCTCTCCTCCGTACCACTCTGACTGTCCTTGCTGGAAAGAAAGAACGATTCATCCCGACGCTCTGCAGAGATGCTATGGACGATCGAGATGTGTGGAAGACGGAGTGCTATGCCCTTCTTGGAGGTATTGTGGGGCTTTGTCAGGGTGAACGGGAGAGGTTCGTTCTTGAGCCCCTGATGAAGGGCGGATACTTGCCTTTGGTGGTGAGAAGTGTCAAGGAGAAGGAGGGTGCGCTCTTGGAGTGTCTTGGGCCTGAAGCCGGTATGTTGTTTCGTAACCCTCTCGCGCCTGATGCTGACTCTGCAACAGAAAATCTCCATGCTTACTGGGTCTTTGAATCCAAGCTCGCCTTCCTCTTGGCCCTTGCATCCACCCGAAAAGGCGCCGAAGACCTTCTGGACTCTGGACTGTTTGAGATCCTCGCCACATGCGGCTTCATCAACGTCCAGATACAGGCAAGCGAAGAAGCTTTGGATGAAGTGGAGGCAGCCGAAATTTTGGCAAGGCAACATCGAGTCTTGGGAGGCGTCCTTGGACTGGTTGCTAGAGTTCTGGCGAGTCTTCATAGGGGAACCAGAAGCGGTGCTTCACAAGTAAGTCTATAGCTTCGCGTGTCACGACACCTGACTGACCCGTCGATAGGCTATTGGCTTCCTCAATGCCCACCGAGAAGCGGTCCTCGCCCTCATCCGCGAACCTCAGCAAAGTTTGTCGACCTCATCTCTGGAAGAATGCCGAACGGTGGTCTCCATTCTTGCGCTAGTGGTGCACAAGGTATCCAGCGACGAGCTCCACTCCTTGTCTAGCTTTGGAGCTTTCCACATGGCTGTCTTGGCGACTGCTGCTGGCATGTTCGATAGGACCCAGTGGGTGGAAGCTGTGGACGAGGAACCTAAGCGTAAGTCAACCTTCAAGGGGGAAGGATAAGACTAACCTTGCAATAGTCGAAGGCGATATTCTCTCGCTAAACCAGTCACTCCTATCTTTCTTGACATCTGCCACATCATCACTGAAATCCGGATCGGGCAACCCCGTCTTCATTACAGGCGTTCACCGATCTCACTCGTCCTCTGTCAAGTATATCGCTTCCGCCCCGAGCGTGGGCACAGCAGTGAACCTGTTGGGCGAGCTGGTGGAGAAGATTCAGGAGGTCGGGGGGGAGTGGGAAGTCATCTTGGAGAGGATGGAGGAAGGAGGTGATTTGGATGAAGCGGATGTCGAGGTACTTTCCTCTATATTCGGGGTTCAGAACACGGCTAAAAATAGGTGCAGAAATTGAGAAACGAGTATATTGGCGACAGCCCGCTCTCTGATGATCTGATCAAGAGCGCTTTCATTAGCAAAACTCAGACCTTGTTCGGTACGTGCGAGCTACATGAGAGACAGGGACAGCAAGCTTACCATGTGCGGCAGATATGATCGAGTCACTTCTTCTGCTGATCTGGCGACATCTCCTGTTCTACGCCAACGATGCCCGTTCAGTCTTGGCTCCATCCGCTCCTCAAGTCCGACCTGATAACTTGTCTATCACTTTGAGCGGCAGCGCGTTCGGTGCTTCGAGGTCGCAAGAGCTGGAAGGGAATAGGCAAGGAGCTGGGATTGTCAGAATGTTGGAGAGGGTTGGAGGCAGTTTGAGTGGTGTTCTGCTGCGAGTGGGTGATCTTGAGATCGTACGTCATCATTTCATGCCGCATGTGTTCATCACGCTTACAATATGGTGCAGAACCCCGAATTGAGACGTCTAGCCACTTCGTCGTCCTCGCCCTCCATTCAAGGAGACGCCTTCTTCGATATGCTCGTTAGACGGTTGAAGGAGTTGGTCGGAGGTCTGGTTGGCGATGCGCCAGCGCGAGAGGAGGGCGAAGAGGAAGGTGATGCGTTGATGTTTTGAAGGTGACAGCGGTCGTGTGCTGTGGTGTCATCGGCGGTATGGACTTGAGACAGATTAATTATGATATATAGGTATTTCACATTCCAAAAATGCATAGGCTTTGACAGACATCATCCAGAGTTGATGGAGGCGAATATCGGAAGTGTCAGTGACCCGCTTGGTTCTTGGGAGAGTCGCGTTGGATCGAGGCACGTTACTCGGGACTTGGCCTATCGGCAGTGAATATTAGATACCGGATATAGGCCGCAAGTGAAGTAGCGGACGTATCCGACCTGCAGCGACGGATACCCATTGCATAAAAGGCGATCACGAAATTTGTTTGGTTCCCGACATTGACGGAATGGCGTTTGCTTATTGCCTCGAGGACTCAGCGTCGGGAATCGGTCTTCCGATGCAAGGCTGTTACCACGTATTGTGCATTCCGTGCGTTCTGACTTCTCAACTCTATATCGCGCCCCTTGACAGCAGCTGGGGCCTGCTGCCTGCTGGCCCTGCCCCCTGCGGCACCCGCCACACGGTGCGCGCCAATCTGGTGGTAACCCCCAAACCTTAACGGAATGATTGATGGTTGATGTTGATGGATGATGGTGATGTGGCTCAGGCATGAGAGGGTCGCATCGCAACCTTCAGTCGAGCATGTCGAGCATCATCGACAGTCACCATTCATCAGTTACCCTTCTGAGCCGACCTGGATACAGTCGCTTCTCTCAATAAGGACAGGCACAAAACAGTGTTTTTCTCTGGCTGATTGACGTTACCCGACTGTACTCGTCTTCGTGTTCCTTCTCTGCTGGTGGTGTCCGCCAGGCGGCCGTCCTCTTCGGCAAAGCGACTGACGCTCATGAGAGAGAGCGCACCGTACGGAGGTTTCCATCGACGGTATGAGAGAAAAACACTGTTTTGTGCCTGTCCTTATTGAGAGAAGCGACTGTACTGTGAAAAATGCGTGTAGAGGTTGTTGCTGAAAGCTAAAGGCACCAAGCCCCGAATGTTGTTGCATGGTTCGTCAAAGGGATGGATACGCTACACTTTACTCTCATGATTACTGACACTTGACGACGCCGCCGTATTCGTATGATAGTCGCTTGATAATAGCCTTCACCATTTGAAAGGATATACGCCAAGAGCCCGGTCATAAATGATCCTCTGATGAATGCAGATGTCAGCCACCATCTACACATAGGTTTGGGATAGATGACGACAAGGCCCTCAACTCACGCGACAATACTCGTTGCGACATGGTGTAAACTCCGGAGGATACTGTAAGCCTTGGATTGCTCCGCACCAAGGGCATCGATAGAATTCTGGAGGGGAGGAAGACCATATAGCAAGTGGTAGTTGGCTCCCGACATATCTGTTTGGGTCAAGTCGTGCTGATAGCTCTACAGGTGTGGTTGTTTTCTTTTGGGTTGCGCTAAAGCACAAGCTGGGTGGGGCGGGGGAGAGAAGAACGTTCCCAGGAATTTATAAGACGGTCTATCAACGCCCAAGATTGCTATAACCCTCAACGCATACAATTACGTCGCAATTGTATGATAGTCAGGCCTCCCTTTCCATCGCATGGATCGCGCAAATCTGTCTAATCGGGTGTTGTTATTGACAACCATCATGAGGCACATCCGGCATCTGCTGTCGTCGGCAAAGTATTTGCTTCTGTCCGAGATAGAAGGGCGTTACTGAACATGTGCTCTTGGGGGGTTGCGCCCTACTTGATATGCTGCTTTGCGGGCTACGTCGCGGGGGACGGCGGCCATTGACCGTGATGGTCGGAACATGATGGAGTTCCTCGTTCTCTTCCTTCACTTCCTGCAAGCTAGCTTCCTGTGATCCTGCGAGGCCTGCGAAGTACTATCCGTAGGTATCGGACCCGTGCCTAGTGCTTTTCATCAACATCCAAAATCACTCCAGTGACGTCCAAGCGAAGCAAGCGATATCAAGAGGGAATCAACGAAGACAAGAACCAAACAGACAAACGTCCGTTACAGTGCACATACGATGTAACACGTGTGGGACCCGTACTAGAAGCTTTGGTTGGTCGTGAGGCCCATGGGGCTCGTATCCTGGGGCCTGGGGCCAGACAACAGCGAAGTCTCGGCCGATGTGTTTGTTCCGATACGGTACAAGAGTTGGGCGTATGGGAGATGTGATTGTTTCGACACTCGAGAAGGTTCATATCCGGACTGCAGATACTACTATAGGTTCTACCGTCCTTCTTGAAGTCAAGGTTTGCAATTGCGGCTCCATAACTTCTTGGCAGTTTTTGAATCACCTCGTGAAGTGATGCAAATCGTTTATGTTTGAAAACGTACTCGTATGGCGGATGGTGACATCTTCAGATGTCTGTAAATCAAGTGTGTCAAGAAGGTTCACTGTGTCGTTCATACATCGTGCTGTCACAAACAGGGCGCTTGCCACACATTATGCCGGGTGCGTGTCGCAGGATATATGATCTCCTCACGTCATCTTTCCTCGGCTTTCTGTGCACGCGAAACGCTTATGAGAAGATTTCGGTCCATGGCCCATAGCCCCAAGGGCCAACAGCATACCGGATCCCACGCACTCAGATTGTACCGAACATGCGACATCATGCGAGAAGAAGGAAGCTTCGAATTCGGGAATTGTACGAGTAACGAAATCGTCTCCGACTTCATTCTCAATATGCTCCCTCGCCCGACCACCACCACAGAAAACATCATCAGCGCACATATTACTTACACATACAGCCCATTATGCAACGAGGGGCGGCAAGTGGTGGTGTAGATACAAAATCAAACGCGGTCGTAATCTTATACGTCGTGGTCCTCTTATCTTCCACCTTCCCGCTCTCGTTATCGACAGCTCGGCCTTCCGGTCCACTGCCGCCTACCAGCTTCCATCAAATGCAACTATGCTAATGCATTATACTATAACCACAACCTATGCAGAAGAAGAACAATGCAGATATACAACAAAAATCTCTATCCCCAAACATTCTGATTCTAGACACGCAAGGCATGCTCTTGTAGCACCCACCCAGCGTCAGAGGGATCTAGAACGACCCCTTCCTCGGCGGTCTTTCATCGTCCGTCCCGCTTTCCTCCCCCTCCCCTTCCCCTCCCAGGAGATCATCGATAATACTCTCCACCGGCGTCCCCTCCGAATCCACCGACACATCCCCTTCCCCATCCCCGTCTCCTCTATCCCTTGCTTCAACCTCCACCCACCCCAACACCCTTCCCCCGCCCTCGCCTTCCCGCTCCTTGCCCCACAACGTCCTACCAGCATCCTTCTCCACCGCCCCCCTTGCGTTCTCTCGCATCTCCAAAACAAGCGTCTGTATACTGTCCCACCGCGCGTCGAGCTGGGGGTCGGCCATCTCGGCATCGTGATAGTCGTCTTGGAGGTGGTCGTGCTCGGCGTCTTCGTCGAATGTGAGGGCGGAGAGGGTGGGTGATGTTTGGGGGTGGGGGAAGGAGGATAAGGAGAGGGGGGATAGTGCGGAGTGGGGGTGGGAAGGGTGGTGGGAAATGGTTTCGCGTAAGCGACGACGGAGTTTGACGATTTCAGCGCGTTGCTTTGATTTCGTCGCTACAGTACATATCATCAGTACCTCCTGTTTCAAACTCTGAAAGATGATGTGTGATACGCACTCTCAAGCATCTTGTTGATAGCCATCAAACTAGCATTGCTTATTTCAAGGTCCGCAATCTACTCTTCCATCAGCACACCTTCAAGGGGATCGATAGCGAAAAGGGAAGACTGACTTTGCGGTTGATCTTGGCCTGTTCTGCAGTTACTCCAAGCATATCATCAACTTCATCATCTCTATCCCCTCCTTCTCCTCCCTCTCCTTCTTGCGCCTCCAGGCCATTGTGATCCGTATCATTGGGTAACGACTCGCCGCCCGGTAAACCCTCGATTTTGTGACCATTCTCCATAGGCAGCCCGTTTGGCCCGAGGTTCATTTGACGTATTGCCCTCGACAGGCTTTGCCTCCCAGGGCCAGAGCCGGGCGAAAGTAGCCCTGCGGAAAATTCATTCTCATCCCTCCCACTCCCCTCACTCCTTTCCTCCCTTCCCAAATCCAGGCCCGTCTCACCTCTCGAACCCTCCCCCAACGGCCCACCCCACCTCCCCGCCCCCGGCGAACTCCCAGGCGTACTCACCCCCGGCGTCAAGACCGGCAAAGCCACCGGCCTCAGCTCCGGGCTCGACGGCGGCAAAGGTAAACTCGGCGGCCACTTGTGCTGCTGCTGCTGGTGCACAAACGCATGTGCCGGGAGTCTACTCTTCGACCACCCCCTCGCCCTCGGTGCCGTTAGAGGCGCGTCTGTAGATAAGCGGTGGGAAGAGCCAGAAGCTGGGGAGGTGGGTGCTGAGGCTGTGGGATGGGGTATTTGGATGGTACGGTTGGTGGTGATGGAGGTGGAGGATGTTGGGGAGCGTTCCATTGGAGGGGCTGGGAGGGGTATGGCGTACGGGGAGTGGGAGGGAGGGGGGGATGTTTGGGGCCACCCGGAAGATGCGAATATGGCACCGTCTACGCCTAGACCGTTTACTGGTGCTGGTGAGGTATGCCCTGAGGGTTCTGCTATTCTTGTCGGTGAAGGGGCTGATGAGGGGATAACGAGTGAGGTAGCGTCAGGCGTCGAAGCAGCCTTTGTCGGTCTCAAGCGAGCTACAGGTGCCCGTTCCCCGCTAGATGTAGTGTTTGTACTGACGGCGCTCCTCAACGAATTCGTCCTCGTCCTCCCTACCATCTGCGCACTGACCGCCTTGTCCGCGGCATTCCTCCTCACCTGCGCTTCAGGCGTCTGCCGTGATGACAGAGAAGACGAAGCCGAGGGTGCAGAAGAAGGGGAAGGCGATGAACCGATGACGGATCGAGCCTTGACACGCGCGATAGTAGGTGTCGACGTCCCCGACGGACCAGGGGCTGGTGAAGAACGGGAAACACCCGTCAAAGGCGAACGCTGAGGCGGCCGAGCTGCTATCCTCGAACCAGTACTCGGCGAAATCGCAGGCGGTACTGGCGATCTCGCCCTCGAGACAGAGGGCGGCGCCGTCACGTACGACCTCATCGAACTTGCCGACGGCGGCCTCTGCAGCCCTGGACGATCATCTCTTGATGGCGGGGTGGCAATGCTGCTTGGGGTGACTTTGGCGCGGACGGTGGGCTTGAATGGCTGGCGGTTGGGGGTGGAAGAGGGGGTGGAGGAGGCAGAGATCTGGGATGCGACCTGGGGCAGAGTGTCAGGATGGAGGAGGGGGTGAAGGGGAGGCATACCTTGCGCCGTGGCTTGAGGGGATCAGTCATGACAGGGGATCACTGGGTCCATGGGCCATTCCGAGGCTGCTTGGGGGTTTATGTATGCCGGATAGGGGCGAGGGGAAGATATCGCTGGATGTAAGAGGACATAGCATACTTGGAGTCAACAACTAGCAGAATGTAAACACTCAATTAGCGGCATCAAATCTCGTTTACAACAAAATTCAAATGATCAAGCCCAGCTCGGCCTTCCATCTCTCTTTCTCCTTTTCAAAACAAATCCACTCCCCACCGCAATATGTCTTCCTCCCCCGTCACTCACCTCTACCGATCAGTCCTCCGGGAACTCCGCTTTGCTGTGAGCCTCCCTACCTTCTCTCACACTCTTACAGGTCTCGAGCAGCGCTGACTTACCCGTTTTCCCTCCAGTCTCAAAAGTCCCGTACAACTCGAAACCCCACAGTCCAATCCCACATCCGAACCCTCGTCGAAACTTCCTCCTCCCCCCAACAGCTCGAACGGTCATTAATAGAGACGAGGGAGTTTTTGAAATCTACAAGACTGCATGCTGTGAGTTTTCACCTCGTCCTTTTCGTTGGTGGTCGCTCGATAGAGTCGTTTCGGCCGTTTGGTACTTGCATAGAGAGCATGTAAACGGGATGAATTGGAGGATATGTGCTCATGAGCATTGCAGGAACTCGTGAAACGATACAACCCCACCCACTCCATGTCCCAAGAAGAGCGCGTACACGCTACCGCCCGAAGAGTAGGATTAAACTCGCCCAAAGAGTACAAGAAGGGAGACGAAGACAAGTAGATAGTTGCCATTCGGGGCGGTGGGTGGGCAAATTCCATAACAGTAATCAAAGTGAGTGTTTTGGTATGGAGAAAATATTGAGATTGAGCTGATTCAGTGGTAGACATTGAGAGGTATACTGATGCATTTTCCTCTGAGCTCAACGTTTCCCCGATAGTCATTTAGTCGTCGGTTGCACAGTTCGTACCGGTTTCGACCATGTGTGAACGAGAGCGTTCGGGTCAAATATGCCCCACCCGAAAGCGTCGCTGTATCTACTCACACGTCGTCACGAAACCCAAAACGAGGCAAGTACGCAGCTGGCGTGTGTGACTTCTGGCTGGCAAGAACGCGCGCAAAGAGCTATCGCAGTCTAACATGCGGAAATCCATTCTTCTCCTTGTCCGGCGATACAAGAGCCTTCAGATGAGGCAGTGTCCAGCGGCGACGAAAATGTCTCCTCGGCCAACGAGGAACAGATCATCCTGGAGAAACGAACCATACACGCGGCAATGGCGTGTTGACTGCTGTCCTTTGGCACCGGTTTCACATAGCCTACAGCAGCCCCAGAAGCATAATGCAGCTTTCACTACATGCTGTAAGAAACCGCGACTTTTTTTGGCGATTCATCATGCAAATACCTCATCACCTCATCAAACCTGGGGTCAGACCCACTCAAATTCAAAAGTAGCCCGGCTTTCGAGCACATGCTCAGTAAAGACAACTTGTACTACCGGCCCAACAGGGGAGTCGTCTACGCCTTCCGATGCCCGTACTGCAACTACTTTTTGGGATATACGTTGCCGCCTTTGGGTGTTCGTTGTCCGTATTCGGCTTGCAATGTGAGTAACGGATACCTACCTATAGCCAGTCCTCACAATTCACCTGTCACTGCGATGGACTGCCGCTGACGGATAACGTGTCTTTTGTACTAGAACCATGTTCATTTGCCGCTTTTGGGCATCTACCCAAAGCTCGAGATAGTGTCTAGCAGATGACACTTTGTGTGCGGCGCATAACTTGAAAAAAGACGACAGTAGTCGTCAGTGGCGCAATGAGGATGGCAGTGCGCACGCCGAGAGGAGATCTGCATGCATATCGAGGTAGCGATTGCCTGATTGTAATCAATTGGCTCTTGTTGATGCTAGATTACTCATATGATCATCAAGCTAGTATTGGTCTACTGATGAAGGTTCTCCATTTGATGGAAAGTCGTGGGTGAGGCTTCGTCGTCATGAGTTTGTTTCAGATTGGATCTGCGACAATGCAGTAGCCCGTTCCGAGTGCTAGCGGGTCAGCTGCGGAGGAACATATATACAAGCTTCCCGAACTTCTTATAAAGAAGAGAAATTAGACCTTTGCAATAGTCGCAAGCTGACCACCCGTCGAAATCAAAGCTGCCAACTACCGCACTTCTATTCTTTTGCCACCCTCCCCCAAGTTTAAGGGAGATACTTTATCATATATACCATGCCTCCTGATCTCAGTGGAGGACCCATGCTGCCCACCACCAGGCAACAAAGCATACCCGGCACAGACCTTCGCTGGTGGCGCTGCCCTTACTGCAAGGTCATTGTAGGGTCTGGCAAGGTCAAGCCGGCGGTGGGAACGCTTTGTAGTAATGCTATTGGAGCTTGCGGGGTGAGTCGAATACTTGGTCAATACGCCACTGCTTTCGTGCGATGCTGGGAGAGATGCGTCGAGGCGATAGGAGAAGAGCAGCTGACGCGATGTCATTTTTGGTGGGGCTGTCGAATCAGAAAGTTGTGCATGACCCGCCTCGTGGTGTCTATCCTCTTTTCACCGAAAACCGACATGCATAGTGCACAGGAGGATGGGACAAGGATGATCGACGAGTACTTTGTGCTGTTTCAGTCAAGGCGAATGGGGCTTGCATATGTAATCACAAACTATATCTTGAGTGTTGGATGAATATGGTTAGTTGTAAATCCTTGACTCGTTTTCCGAGGATGTCTGTTTCCCTTGAGGTTCATAGTACCAAGCTGCAACAAGCTGCTAGCAAGACATAAGGCCTTGGTAGAGCGTGGTGCTATAGAGCTACAGGATCTTCGTCGTACGCAAGCATAACGTGAGGCTCACGCAAGGCTTGTTGACTCTCAACGGGCCTTGCAGCAGTAGCCGTTGACGGGCTACTGTCTTGTATATATTGTCATATTATGCACAGACGCCACCTCCGATACCTCACCAATCGCCACCCACTTGGCCCTGAACAATAGCATATATACATCACAGTATATCAGCATAAAGTCTGACTCGAACATGTCTGGCAACGTCAGCATACCTTCGGAGCGGCGACCATTTTCTCCTCTCCCTGGGGCAATCCTGTTCAAAAATATACCCGTATACCGCTGCCCGTATTGCAAAGCGATCTTGGGCTGTGGCACCATTTTGCCGGATGTTGGCGCTCAATGTCCTGATGGGTGGTCATGTGGGGTGGGTTCTGCTCATCTGTTCTGACCTTCTTCAGACGACCATGTCAGAGTTATATCTCACCATAATCTACATTTTGTGTTTGTAGAAAGTGGTTCACAATCCCAGCGAAGGTGTTTATCCGACGCGTACTTTCAAGTAAGGGGCGGCGAATGTTGTTGGAAACCCTGTAGTAGCCGGACGTGCGGTCGAGCACCGAGTTGTAAGGTCTGTTGTATGACTATGTACTTTTCGTATGATTCTCCACGCCTGTGTACCTCTTCGGTTGACACCGTGTTGACTAGTGTAATCTACTCAATTGACATTACCGTTTGTCTTGTCCATTGCCAGCAAGAAAGGTTGCTTGTTCTAGCGTTATAGATCTTCTCTACTTTGACCCTCCTGAAACACCATACAGCTTCTATGATTGCTTGTACCCTTGAAAGCGGAGAAAAACACTACACGGAGATATACATGTACTTTGTCAACGTGTAAGAAGCCTTTCATAGATATGCGCCAAACAAAAACTCGAGGCGTGTCCTCTCCTCCTCCCCGTGTAGAACACCTACAAAAAGCCACGCTTGCAACAATATAACCATGATCAGACTTCTTGCCACCATACTTTACCTGGCCGACAAGACACATCGGTATACCGATCGACATGTCCTCTTACGAACAGCAACGTCACGCCCGATACGTCGAGCTATGCTCCAAGCCTTATTGGCAATACCAATGTCCGTTCTGTCGAGCAGATCTGGGGAGACACATGCCTCTGGAGGGTAGTCGGTGTCCGAATCCGCTGTGCAGAGTGAGTCATGTGATGAGATCATTCTGTGGTTTCAGTGCGCGGGAGGGATGGTGATGATGAGGAGATAAAGTAACGGTGGTTGTAGAGAGTGGTATACAGCAGGCGACATGGGATTGTTCCGAGGGTGTTTGCGTGGAAACCTAATGGGGTGGAAGCCAGGGCCTCATCTGAGGGGCGGGAAGGAGGTTATTAACGATCAGAGCTCAAGACAGTCAACGTCCATATGCATGAAATAATGCGGCATGAGAACAATACGCATGTAAGCATTTCACTGGCGTCACGCAGATCAGGGCCTTCAACACACGGCAAAGTGTCTACTGACATGCGGTGGGGTTCGCACTCAACATCATCGTCTTCTCCGCTTTCGGCTCGAACAGGCAAAGTGAGACTCATGATGGAGTTTCCAAGGCTCCCATATTCAACTTGATCTGGGCAACAGCTGAGACTGCTTGATCTTTATATGAAAGCTCGTTCTCATCCCTCCGGACCTGAGCCGCCGCTCGACTCACGTTCCGTCCGCGCAAAAGCGCAACATGCCCAAAGCGAGTCAACTACGCCCAAAACCTCAGCAAAGCACTAGCCAAGGAGATTTATCATATCTTTATCATATCCCAACATCACCATACGTTCTTACTGGAGATACCAATGCCCACGTTGTCGGGCGGATCTTGGCATAACGCTACCAAAGGAAGCGGATGTTTGTCCGAATCCGGCGTGTGGGGTGAGCTTTGTTTCCTGTTTCTTGAATCGTCGTTCAACATGTGGAGCAAACGGTGCTTACTTTGAAGTAGAACTACGTTTTCTTACGTTTGTTTGGTATATATCCAAAGTTGGTACCTTGTTGACCTCGATGTAGACTTGTTGGGTTCGGCAGCTTGATGCCTTTTGGTTGAGTGCTGAGAAGTGTTTCGTACCCCACTTGAACCCCTTTTGATAAACCCCTTTGTCGAGACTCGCCTGACGACCCCCAATTTCTCCGACAACTTGGGGACAGACTAGCCTATCTGCCAGCATTTCGATGTACGATTGACACAACAACCTTTGAATGAAGCCTTCGCACAAACGTTAGCGTAGCGAGCAGCAGTATCCCTTCCCCAGCTCCTCCTGGCCTTCCTTCTCCAGACGGCCCCACTTTCAACTCGTCAGACCCAAGTATCTTCTCTCCCGACAGATATCTCTGGCACCCTTCGGGGTAAGAAAGGAAGAGGTACTGCGAGTCGATTGTCATGCCTTCGATGCGTGATCGACCCTTCTCATGTGTCATTATGGTCGATGGGTATATAAAAGCCGCTCAATGACACTCAACCCAAACACCATCTCTCGACCTCATCTCCTTTCCTGAGTAACTCCATAGTACAACAACCAGTACCATGTCCGACGAGCGAAAGCAGCAACAATCTACCAGGCCAAGCTTGAGCGAAGCCACGAACGCCGACTTGCGTGCACCTTTCGCTGGACAAGAGTGCGCGGAAGACCAGACCACTCAGACCTCATCTACACCTCCTTCAACAGTTGGTCCCGGAACTGCAGGGTCGGGTACCACCCGAGACACTTACTGGAGGACCAGGCCGAGTTTGAGCGAGAATATGAATGCTGATTTGGGCCCGCCGTTTGCGGGGCAAGAGTCTGCGGAGGATCAGTCGAGCCAGCCGTCTCAGAGGGAGAAACCGAAGCTATGATGAGTGATGTTATACTGGGTGTGAGAGAGTGAGAGAGGGTAGCTGTCATGTCTTCTTGTTTTGATGTCAGTGAAAAGGTGAAAGTCAGGGCTATGCAATTGTTATGAAGCTTCTATCAGAGTATGGTAAACCGGCATCATGGAGACAGTTGCGAAGGACTGCTTTGACAAAGTTTCGTTCAACCTCACCTGAGGAGACGGTGCAGTTCAAATGTTCTGGCTTGTCGGTCTGATTGCTTTGCTTGCCCGTACTTGTACGAGGTCTGCAGAATACATGTCTGTCATTACTATACTCACGCACTCTGCCCACGACTCTTTGACAAAGCCTTCATGCGCTACGCAACCCGTCTGATCAGTCCTTCTCACCAAGCCAACACTCCCTTCAACTCGTCAGACTGATCACCTCCCCCCTCCTCACCTCTTTTCTTACAGCCCGTCGGAGGTCTCGAGGCATGTCGCCGTTATCATAAATATTGCCCCAGCCCAGAAGGACCCGGTGGGGCTCCTTTCAATGATGTAAGAAGCCACACGACAGGTGTTGCGGTTGGGCTTCGAAGTGATCATCGCATGGAGCTAGGTCGATCGGGTACGTGTACGAGCATCTCCTGAGTGGGGTAGTAGAAGCTGGTGGTCATGAATCGGAAGGGCTTCACTCCAAGACAGCTCAACCCGACAGTCTTCCAACCCCCTCTTCCACCTCACAACCCAACATCTTCATCACCTCATCACAAGCAACAACACATCATGCTCCAACCATCATACCCACCCACCGCCCCTCCAACCGGCCCCCCATCTACCGTCCGCTCGCGACCTTTCATAGCTACTACCGTACCTCCAAGTCAGACGGATGGACATGCTTCACCGTGGAGCAACCCGAGTCGAAGGTCGGCTTTGAGTGCGAGTTTTGGAGAGCCGTTTGCTGGTTATCATCAATATCATGCGACGCAAGCGCCTGGGACGAGGTCGAGGTTGTGAGTTATGCTTGGAGGGTTTTATGAGAGAGTGGTGTCGAGAGGGATTTGGTTGTTGCTGATTTGATACCTAGGGAAGGTTGGGTTTATGCGGTTGTCGATATGCACGTGTTCGTGAGACTCGTGTCTTTATCATCGAGACAGCCGCCGGCGTGGAGAGCTTGCTCCTGAGATTGACCTGTCCAAATCGCGAGCTATGCATCCAGCTGATATGGAATCCCCACTTTCCCTCTCCCCCATGCCCCAAGCACATGCAACGAGCCCAACACTCCCCCCCCGATGTTGACCAAAACGCAGGCTAACGTAAAGCCACCCCTGCAAACTCCGAAATGCCGCCCTATTCCAGATACCCCGGTGGAGGTTGGCGTGCTCGGTGCCTCCCTGGCGCTGTGGGGTGCGCCCATCTTCTCTGACATTCTCTGTTTTCCTTCTTCTTCTTTTCCTCTCTATCCATCGGTGCATGAACACCACTCTCAGACGACTCTCTACTACATTCGTACACCACAGCGTCAGAGCATTCAAAATGTCCGACTACCAGACTAGGATCATTGGCGTGAGTCCGCGCCTGTTGTTTTTTTGGGGGGGTACGAGCTGATGGATGGGTTAGGCCGCCAACACTCTTGGTTAGTTTGAATGGGAGGATGGGGGATGTGAGGGGTGGAGCTAATGGGATTGTAGAGCACCGAGTGTTCATTGAAAACAAGGAGGGCAAGGTCGTGTCTCCCTTCCAGTACGTCTCCCTCCATCTCCATCGCTTTCCTCGGGACGACAAAGCTGATTTGTTCTCAGCGACATCCCCCTCTTCGCCGATGAGGCCAAGACCATCCTCAACAGTACGCCTTCTTGTTCAATTTGAAAACATTGGCCCGTGCTGAAGGAGCTCTGCAGTGATCGTCGAGGTTCCCCGATGGACCAACGCCAAGATGGAAGTCTCCAAGGAGGAGGCTTTCAACCCCATCAAGCAGGACATCAAGAAGGGCAAGCTCCGATACGTCCGAAACTGCTTCCCCCACCACGGTGCGTCCTTGTCTCTCGTCTTTTTACTTGTTACTCGAGGAAAGGGAGAGGGGAACTGACAAAGGCGCAGGCTACATCTGGAACTACGGTGCCTTCCCCCAAACCTGGGAAGACCCCAACGTCTCCCACGCCGAGACCGGCGCCAACGGCGACAACGACCCCCTCGACGTCTGCGAGATCGGCGAGGCCGTCGGCTACGTCGGCCAGGTCAAGCAAGTCAAGGTCCTCGGCATCATGGCCCTCCTCGACGAGGGCGAGACCGACTGGAAGGTGCTCGTCGTCGACGTCAACGACCCCCTCGCGGCCAGGCTGAACGATGTGGAGGATGTGGAGAGGCACTTGCCCGGCTTGATCCGCGCGACGAACGAGTGGTTCAGGATTTACAAAATCCCCGATGGTAAGCCCGAGAATGTGTTTGCCTTCTCGGGTGAGGCGAAGAGCAAGAAGTATGCGGTGGAGATCATTCATGAGTGTCATGAGGCTTGGAGGAAGTTGGTGCACGGTGAGACTGCTGCGTCTACCGATGCTTACAACCTTTCCATGTGAGTTTTCTGATTGTTGGTCGTTGGTCGTGGAGTGCAAGGGCTGATGGTTGGTTAGCGCCAACACCACCGTGAAGGGCTCCAAGGGTGTCATCTCTACCTCTGACGCCGCTTACACCTCTATCCCCGCCGACTCCCGAAAGCCTGCCGCTCCCATAGACCCCTCTAGTATGTTTCCCATTTCCACTCTTCTCCGCAGGACCCAGGCTGACAGGTGGGATAGTCGACAAGTCTTTCTTCATCTCCTCCGCCTCCGCCTGAAACGCACCACGTCGATCGCTCTTATAAACAAAAACAACATCATCCTCAACATTATCCTAATCTTTCCATTTCTCCTGAGCGGTCGGCTATTGCGCGGTTTTATGTGTCTTTTTCGGCTCGGTCGGGAGAAGGGAGGGATGGGTGTTGGGAGTGTGTTTCTTTGTTCTTTGTGAGAGAAGAGAGAGTGGGATTGGACTTGGGAAGAAGAATGCATGTCTTTTGAGATCCTAATGTGATTGGTATACATGATTTTGTTTACGAGCTAATGTAATAGATGACGGCTTCGGTATGGATTCGAGCTTATTCGTCGGTGAGCGGCAAGTCGAGCTCTTCATGCACATCCTTGATCGTCCGGTTCGTCATCAAGGCGTACTACGCCAGAGTCTTGGTCAGGTGCCAATCTTTGTGTCACGGAGAAGAGATGACTGACCCGACCGATGAGAGACTGAGTACCATCTTTGATCTCGTTATAAGTGTGGAGCAGGTGGATGTGCTGTTGTACGATCTTGTTTGGGTCTTTGTCCCTGCAGAGGAGAGGAGAGATATGTATCGGTCAGCCAACATGCACTCTTGGGCTCTTAGGTAGAAGAGGCCCGAGCGCAGCTGACTGGACACTCACCCAAGCACTTTCCTAAGCTCTTCAACCTTCTTCCTCAACTCGCCAACCTTCTCTTCCACAAAAATGGAATTACCCCTCATCGATTTGGGGGTCGGGGTTACACCCGATTTACCCCCGGCGCCCCCGGCGGAAGTGATACCAGCCCGGGTGGAGGAGGGTGTTTTGAAGGGCGAGCTTTTGAGAGGTTTTGGGTGGGCGTTGGGGCGGCGGGAGGGGAAGGAGGGGGATGGGGATGGGGAGGAGGGGGGGAGGTTGGATCTGTGAGGGGGCAAGGGAGAGGGAGGCATCGCTGATGAACGAAGGAGGATGAAGAGCAGAGAGGAGGAGATGGCTCTTGGATGGCTCGGTCCTCGGATGTCCGAAATCACATCGCATCTCGCGGAAATGGCCTTTGAATGGCCTCCACCGCGCTCATCTTTCTGTCTTTTTTCATTCCTGATATATTTTCTCAAAACGATACATCACAGAACTCCTCGACAACAGCAATCATGGCCCAGACTGAGAAGTTGACAGAGAACAACTCGGCCTCGGCCCAAAAGCAAAAGTCAAAGAAGAACGACCAGACAGGTCCAGCTCCACCAGATTGGGAGACTATCGACCTTCCTCCAGATTACATTCTCGCCCATTGTATCTCCCCCTCTTCTCCCTCGCACCATATTGCTCAAGGAGCTGATGAGAAATAACAGTGACAGACGCACACTGCCACCCCACAGACCTAACACACCCCCCAGAAGTATACGACGCCGTCAAACTCGGGGGTTTGGCGGGGATGGCGACTGTGAGGGAGGATCAGGATAAAGTCCGGGACCTCAGTTTGGAGAGGGAGTGGATGGGAGGAGGGGGTGGGAGGAAGGGGAAGGAGGGGAGAGGGGTGGGGGTTGTTGCTTGTTTCGGTACGTCACTTTCAGGAATCGTAGGATTGACTTTGGGTACTGATTTGGAGTAGGGTATCATCCGTGGTTTACACATCGATACACATTCTCCCCTCCTGAATCTCTACCTTCCAAAGAAGAACACTACACCTCTCTCTTCTTCCCCGCCTCCTCCTCCAGCTCCACCTCCTCGACCCCTCAATCCGAAAAACAATCCCAAGACCGCCACCTCCTCTCAACCCTCCTCCCCTACATGCCAGAACCCCTCCCCTTCCAGCCCATGCTCGCAAAGCTCCGAGAGGATCTGAAGAAGAGTCTGGGAGAGGGCCGGTTGACGATGCTGGGGGAGGTGGGGCTGGACGGGAGTGCGAGGATGCGCTGGCCGGTGGGGGCAAAGCACCTTCATCCGGATTATCAGGATCGTCAGCCTTCTCATGATCATGACGAGCGGGAAGATGAAACACCGAGCTGCTGCTCACCTCCCGAGCAAGCAGCCAAAGGAGAAGGAGAAGAAGAAGAAGAATGGCGCCGCCTAACCCCATTCAAAGTCCCCCTCCCGCACCAACGCGCCATCCTCCAAGCCCAGATCGACATTGCCATAGAGCTGGGGGTGAATGTTTCGTTGCATAGTGTTGCTTGTTCTGGTACGTCCCCCCACCTCCACCACATCCTACCATCCTTTTTTTGCCTGGACTGGACTGAATGTCTTGGTTTTTGTGGTAGGTCCGACGATGGACGCGCTTATGGAGGTCAAGAAGAATTACGGAGAAAGGTTTTTGAGACGGGTTAATGTGGATTTGCATTCGGGCGGGGGGTGGAGTGCACCGTTCCTCACGCAAGCTATCGCAAGTCCCCTTCCCCCTCCTCTCTCTCTCTGCTTGTGCTGACTCAACGACACGTACTTTACGTCCACAGAAACACCTCCCAAACCTCTTCATATCCCCCTCCATCCCCATCACCTCTCGCTCCCCGCACGCCCCCGCGCTCATCCGCGCGATCCCGCGAAACAGGATGCTGGTAGAGTCGGACTGCCATGATGTGCGGTTGGTCACGAGGTTCGTTTGGGGGGTTGTGAGGTGGGTTGGGGAGGTTCGGGGGTGGAGTGTTGAAGGTTTGGAGCCGTGGCCCGGGGCAGGGGCACGAGGAGGAGGAGGAAGAGGAGGAGGAGGAGAAGGAGGGATACAGGAAGGGGACTGGGAGATGCAAGAGGAAGAGGACGAAGTGTATGATGAGAAAGGAAGACTTGTGGAGGGGCCGGTATGGACTGTGAGGCAGGTTGAGCGGAATTGGGCGAGGTTTATGCGTCTTATTCAGGATCAGGATTGAGAGCGCGAAAAGTACAAGTATCTTATGGTTGTCTGAGGGACGTTGATGTATCCGTGACCAGGAGTGTTCCATTTACGCTATCTCCCCCTGACCGGCGGACATGTAATCACTGACTAGCAAGACACACAAAGACACGAATGATTGCATGTCGGCCGAGGAGATAAAAAGGTAAACGGCTGCAGGAGGTAATGGAAAGAAATGATCAACCCGAACATCAAACAATTCGGCTTCTTCAACACTTTGATTGCCTAAGCGAAATCATAGAGTGACAAGGTGAAAACCCCTTGGCCGCGAGGCAGCGAGGCAGCGCAACAAAGGGTAACTCGTACATCATTACAGGGGTCTTTGAGATCATCGACAAGAACAATCCCCTTCGTGCCCCTAAATGCCTAGATGTGACCGGTAGGGACCACACAGGGGCAAGGAAGTCATGCCGGTCAGGAGGCAGGAGGCAGGAGAAGCTGAGGCTGGCTGGCTGGGCTGACGCCAAACCTCATGTTCTGTCACGCCCAACACATGTCCTTCAGCCCTCCATGTTCCATGTCCATATTCATTATAAGAAGAACGCCTACAAGGTGCAGTGCATCTCGCACATCTTCTATCACCATCACCAAAAAGGAGAAAAAGAAGTTGTCAGTCATGTCCGGAACCAACCCCATGTTCCGTTGGCTCAACTCGCGATACTGGCGCTGTCCATACTGCAAAACCAACTTGGGCAAACTGCAGCCGATGATGGGTACTATTTGTCCGAATCCTGCTTGTCGAGTACGTTCCCGTCTCCTTCTTCGCTTGATATCCCATGATGCGCCTTTTGCCTATGGGGTTGGGCTTGGTTTGATAGACCAGAGATGAAAAGAAGGATGACGGCTGACGATTGGAATTGGTGGTGGTGTTGTTGTTTTAGAAAGTCGTCCATGACCCTGTTCGAGGATACTATCCTGAGTGGGTCCCTTGATTGCCACGTTCCAGCAACCAGGGCCAGCAGTCGGAAGTAACTAGGACGGAGGCTTTGTGATCCGAATACTTGTACTTGTTCGGGGGAGGATGACGATGACATCAAGAATGTACATGCGTCAGGGTTGCAAGATCGCCAAGCGGGGTCCTCATTCTTTTTGATTGAACTGTGTATCTTATCCAAAGCAGGGGGAGGCCTCCTTCGTCTCTAGTCAAGACCTTATCAGATGTTGAATGACCGGTGGTGCGAGAAGAACCGCAAGATCTGACGAGTTGTGTGTCTGATACAAGTCTACAATGCATTGGTTGGTTTCGTTGGTTTTGGAAAGACGAAAAGTCTAAAGAAAAAAAAACAGTACAGCGTAATAATGGTTCTTGTGTAAAGTATCGCTCTCTCGCTCCCTCGATCCGGTACGTTCAAATAGTAAGCGTCATAATACTAAACCCACATCAGCTCACACCTCAACGACACATAAGAGAGAAACTCACCCGTCAATGACGAAAGCATCCACCGTCCTCCCATCCGACGCCCCCTGCCTCAACACCCCGATATCCGTCTGGTCCCCAAACGTCGCAAGAAGCAGACCAGCGTCTTTGACGGATGCCACCAACGACGGTACCGCCGCCTGTTACCCCCAATGTCAGTCCATTATCAGAGTGTAAGAGGGCGGAGAAGGGGGTGGGGACGCACCAAGGTAGAACTCTCGAGGATGACACCCAACAGATTCCGGCTTTTCGCGAAATTGACAGCTTCCCTGACGCTCAGACAACGGACGTCTGATTCTTCTTCTTTCGGTGCTGGGATGAGGTGATTGGTGGAAGTTGCAGACGTGGAGTGGGCGCGAGAGATACCGCAGTAAGACGCAAAGAAGACGGCATCTGTCATAACCATTAGCTAGTTGCCCCCCTCGTGAAGAAAGGAGACAGATACACACAGTTGGGCTGTTTCCAATTCAAAGCCGTACAAACAGTTGGATCAAAGCTCGAAAAGATAATCTTCCTACTCCCCGACCCCCCCGCTCCCGCCCCAGCCGGCCCATCCACATTCTTCCCCGCCTCATAAACCTTCTCCAAAACCCTATCCACCCACTCATTAACCTCCCTACTCTTCCCCCCCACCTTTTTGTGTTTCGCATCGACGCCCCGGGCGTATTGCAGGCGGAAATTGACGCCAATGTCGTTGGGCAGGATGGACAGGACGTCCGCGAGGGAGGAGAGGGTCGAAGCTAGGAGGGTGTACCACTCCCCATGCTTCAGGCTTGTCCTCGGGGGAGACAAGGCGAGGCCGAGTCTTGCCGCGAGCTTCGTGTACTGCTCGTACGTCACATCCGACACACCCAAATCAAATTCCTCCACAGGCAGTCGGAGATGCGGATAAACAACCGGTACCCCATCTTTCGTGACCTGCACCACCACATGCACATACTCGCCCGACAAACTCGACGCCGTCACCAACGCGCTCTCCCCCCCTCCCGCCCCTGCCCCCCCTGCCCCTCCCCCCGTTTGCGCCGTCCCGCCAACAGCAGGCGGCCTGACCGCCGGCGCACCGCTAAACACGCCCGCGCCCAAGGCGCCCCCTTGCGCCGGGAGGTGGGCATGGTCTTGCCCCGGGTTACTCGGCGTCACTTTACTCTTCCAATACGTCTCCACCCTCCCGCCAATCTCCAACTGCGCCCCCTCAAACGGCTTGATACACGACGCTTCCAGCGCCACCTCGCCTATCGTCTTCAAGTTATGATCGAGGAGGGGAGCAGAGAGCGGGGTGTGGTAGGGTATGTGGGAGAAGGTGGAGGGGAGGATGATGGCGCGGGCGATGACTTTGGAGCCGAATGTGGGGTAAAGGGAGAGCTCGAGGGTGAAGTGGGAGAGGTCTTGGGCGTGGAAGGAGAAGACTTCGCGTTCGTCTGCGAGGGGGAGGATGACAGAGTGGGGTACGGCGGCGGTATCTTGTTTACTCGTCATCACCAGCTTCAGACTCGACCATAGATGCAGCGGCGCATCCGTGCCGGACCGAGAGTAGAGTTTGATAGGCGGCCGTTTGGGATTCGACGACGAGATGCGGTGGCCCAGCGATATTTGGATCAAACACCGTTTCGCCAAGAATTCGTGTCCATACACTCTCAACCTATTCCCTCATCAGCTGCCTGCCATAGATTGATAGGATGAGGATGGAAGGGAGACGTACGGGATGATGGGCGGGGGCAAGCTCAAACTTGGTATCAGCTCAAACTCTTCCATCGCCGGCGGGTCCAGTTCGATATCCGACCCCGGACTCAGACTGTCCATCTGCGGATCCGCCGCCAGTCCAAGATTCTCCATCCCCATCCCCGCCCCCCCTTCCCCGCCCCCTCCTCCCTCTCCTCCTCCATTCTGGCCAGCGTCACGACTACTACCCCGGCCTTCCAACCTCGCCCCCTGCGCCAACAAGAAATTCAAACACTCCACATGCCCAAACCACGCCGCATACCACCCCGGCGACTTGCCATACTCATCCTTCGCATTCACATCACACCCCGCCTCCACCAACACTTTCGCACACTTTAGATGCGCCGACGTGCCCCCGATCGCAGCATGGTGCAGCGGCGTCCACAGATTATACTTGTCCTGCCTGTCCTTCCCTCCCCCGGACGGCCCGCCCTCCTCGACGAGCAACCGGCAGATAGCCTCGTGCCCCGCTTTCGCCGCGAAATGCTGCGGGTAAAGCCCCTCGCTATTGGGTACTACCCGCGCGCCTTCGCGCAACAAGACGCGCGCAACGTCGACTTGGCCGAACTCGCACGCGAGGGAGAGGGGGATGAGGTCGGTGCTTATCTTCGGGGTGGGTTCGAGCGTGATTTTGGATTGGACAAAGAGGAGGACGGAGGGGAGGTGGCCGTGCTGGATAGCGTGCATGAGGGGGGTGTAGCCGTCCATGTCCGTCGCGGAGGGGTCGGCTTTGTGGGCGAGGAGGAGGGAGAGGAGGGGGGCGTGGCCGTTCATAGCTGCGTAGTGCAGCGGCCGTCTCCCATACGCATCCGGTTTCTCGAGTAGAGCAGGGTTGTGCAAGAGGCACAGCTTGACGACGCCGGCCGAGCCGGATATGGACGCTAGGTGCAGAGGCGAGCGTTTGTTGATCGTGTCGACGTAGGCGTAGTCGAGGTGGATGGTGTTTTGGACGAGGTCGAGGTCTTGTTCCGGGGCGTGGAGGGCGCAGCGCCAGAGGATGCGCATGAGCCCTGCTGAGCCGGGGGATTTGTGCTGGCGCGACCGGGCGGCGCGGAGCCAGGAGACGAGGGCGTCGTGATGCCCGGAAGAGAGGGCTTTGACGAGGTTGTCTTCGAGGTCTGTGAGGGCGTCTTGCGCGAGGGCGCGAGAGGCGTCGGCGTCATAGTCTGATCGGCCGGTGGGAGGAGGCGGGGACGGCAAGCCGTCGATGGTGACCCCTTCAGGCAAGTCTCCTTGCAGAAAAGAAGCATTCAAGTGTTCGGAGCCATCTTGGATATCCAGCAGATTCGCAGCGACGATATCAGACAGCTTGGCGATGAATTCGCGATTGAAACACGGCTGCACCTCGACCTGCCGCTCAAGGTAGAGCTCTTTGGTACTGCTCTTACTCCGCTTGTCCCACTTTTTGAGAATCTTGCGGAAGCCCGTGGCATTGACTTCGATGAAACCTTGGAGCTTGCCGAGGTCGCGTTCAAAGAGACGCCAGCCTTCTTCGAGCGAGTTCCACTCGGCATCGCGGCGGGAGCCGGAAGAGAGAGAGTCGTCGGATGTTGTAGAGTGGGAGAGGAGGCGTTTGCGGTTGGAGAGGAGGGTGAGGAGGCGGAGGCGGAGGTCGCGTTCTTTGACTAGGTAAAATTGGTTTATCTGTAAAGTTGTCAGCGAGGCCCACAGCTGAAAGAAAGGGAAGGGGGCACCTTTTCGAGCTCTCGTTGTAATGTAAAGAAGAAAACATCCCGATGCGCCTTGAAGCTCTCTCCTTTATCACTCCCAGCAGCCGGATCCCGACTCATCAACCCACTCCCAATATTTTCTGGCGGCGCCGTCTGCGGCGGCAATGGCTC